CAGGATTCTCTCCTGCGGCGGTTCGCTCTGGCTCTTCGATGCTTCTCTCGATGCGCTCCTCTTCGGCCTGGTCCATTTTGTCAGCTTGAGATCTTGTTCGTGGCATTTTTCTTTCTTCAATCTTCTATATTTTCTGTCTTCAATCTTCTATAATTGACCACGACGATCTTCTTTCTTCAATCTTCTATAATTTTTCTTCAATCTTCTATAATTTTTCTTCAATCTTCTATAATTTTTCTTCAATTCTTCCTCGGCGCTGTAGATCCGGCTCGATGCGACCAAAAAATGTACGGGACGCCGGGCTGTCGCAGTAGCGGACAGTTACCGACTCGTACTGAGGGGGTGGAGGAAGTTACACGCAGGCGTCTTGACTGTAGTGGACTGTAGTTTCGGCGAATAAAACCCCTGGTGTTCGGTATTGAAGAAATCGGTGGGCGCTGATAATGGATGGCCGGTGAGAGGAGGCTTCAGGTCCAGAGTGAACCGCTTGATTGTTTCTTCCTGTTCCTTAGGGTAGGAGCGCCTGTCGCTGAATGCATGTCGGAGCATGTTCCGACTCGAATTTTATATGCTAGGACTGAGCTGGCCAGCGATCCATTACCTCACCCACGCTATGCTTTATTTTTCATTTTCTCAAAAATTACATTAGTGCGAGCTTAAAACTAATTGTACATACATCGGGCATACATATAGGCATAATTTTAACACAGTTATGTGTCCGTAAACACGATATTTTAGGTGTGGCGCGCAAAAAATAGGTCTCCGCAATATTTATACTTTCCCCCTCCATAGGGCTTCGCCCTGCCACGGGGCTTCGCTGCCCCACCCGGCGCGCCCGGAGCGCAACATGTCTCAGAAAACGGTTCTATACAAACAGATTTTGTCTCCTACACGGTACATTTTTACACTTATTGATGTGATACCTATTTATTTACGTAGCCCTACGCGTTACCTATCTAATACAACAAGTTTCTTACAAGAATATCAACAAACAACAGCTCTACGGCCCTATAAAGTTTACAAATTAAAAAGTCTTAAAAAACCTACTTACATTCACTTAATACCTAACTATCATATACCATTTTATAGAAGAAGTAAAAACACACAAAATAACATCTTTATTATAACAATTATACCTATATCCTATTGACTATTCGTAAAAAACTATTCCCAATATTTTCCTTAATTACGCTTAAACTACTAACACGATTCATACAAAACTTAGATATATTATTCCTATAACTACCTACTTTCTAATAAGACATAAAATAAATCAATCAAAACATAAAACATACTATTATCGAAAACTATCAACTCAGGCAAAATCCTATAAGATGTGAGACAAGGACAACCTATTGTCTCCGTCCCTCCTATAGGTCGGAACTATCAGTATTCTGACTAGTTTCCCCGCGCCACCGCTTGGCGTCGTGGCGATCGTTTAGATAAAGTCTTATAAGATTATTGGAGAGAACGGGGCGGAATATCGCTCTGAACTATCAATTTTACAATGGTTTACTATGGGCAGAGCTATCTATTACTGCGATATCCGACTCATTCTAATAAGACAACAAGGGAATGATATTTTTAATGCGTATACAACCGATTCATGTGAAATTATAGATACGTTTTTATACATTGTTCTCATATTGTCGTAAGTTCATTTTCTCTCGCTTCGGTCGTCGCGTACACTTATGTTGCCCCCTTGGTGAGATGGTGTCGTCCAGTCTGGGCCTTTTCAAGTCCTCTTGTCTGTCCGTTTGTCCCTTATTTGTTTATCTGTCCGTCTGTACTTTAGTCGGTCTGTCTGTCTGTACTTGGTCCTGGGTTCCCTGACTCGTAACAGCCGCAGTTGAGCGGCCTTGGCTGCTGCAGTTTTGTTACGGGCCTTCGTAGCCCTCTGCCCGAGTCTGTGCCGGTCGGTTGTCGTTTTAGTCATGTCAACACTTGGGCCCCCAGTCCTGTCCACTGCCTTCCGATTCTTACGTCGGTAGGTAGCGACTTGCCAGGAGTCCAAGTCACCAGCCACGTCCTGCGGTTGTTGCCTGACACCGGGTTGCCCCTTCACCAAGGCTTCCAAAGCACGGGACGTAGATGGTACGTCTAGGTCTGTGTTGGTCGGCCTGACACCGGGTTTCCCCTTCACCAGGTATACCGACTCTTTGTCTGTCTTGTTCGTCTGCCTGTCACCGGGTTTCCCCTTCACCAGGTCTCCAGACGCTGTTATATCCTTGTCCTTGTCGTTTGTATTATGGGATCTGTTTGGTTCCATTACACGTGTCTATTAAAGTTTCATCCTCACCAGTCCCACCCGCCACGGAGCCACAACTAGGATGCCGATGTTAAAAATCAAGGCACCAGGATTGTGGTGAGGATATAGGGGCACAGGTTTTTCCTCACAGCGCGACATCGGGAACTGCAGCTACATGGCTGGTAGTCGATCCCAACTACCAGTGGTTCCATGCAGCCTTGTTCCTTCAGCATGGCCGGAGTCCATCGCTAGGTGTTAAAGCGACCCCCACACCCCTCGCCAGCGACCCATAGACGGTAGACGCCATGACCGTTGCCTCTTGGTCGGCTATACCACGAAGTTGCCGTCTCGCTGGAAATCCGGGCCAAAGTGCTGTGTTGCATCCGGGGTGCCGCAGCCCTTTCCGCTCAAACACCAGGATCCCTTCATCCCTGCTCACGGCGATGCTGCGCAGGTCATAGCGCAGGAGAAGCTGACGCACCACCAGGCCGCCTCTCTACTCCTGGTGGATGGGGGGAAATCGTCTGACTGTTTCAGTTACGTCTGTTTCATAGGGAATCAGACCAATAACAGGCGGCAACCACGTGAAGGAAAACAGCCAGGCTTGTCTGGGGGATCTACACGACCTGCGCTCGCTCCCCAGACCATTAGCCAGATTACCAGACGGGACACAGAATGGTAAAATAGGTGATGTGTTAGGTTTAGCCATCATTGAGCTATATACAAACCTAACACAACCCCCGCCCGGGAACAACTTTATTTTTGATCTATATTAACAATCTTTGTGACATAGTGATTAATGCAGGACAAGTTTTTTCATATGCAGATGACACTGCCATTGTTTTTACAGGCGATACGTGGGAATCTGTACGTCACGCAACGGAGAAGGGTCTGGCGAAAATAGACCTCTAGTTAAAATACAACCTTCTAACCCTTAACTTAGAAAAAACTAATTATATTGCATTCACTAATTATACTTATTCTCAACCTAACGCTGACTATCAAATTCGAATTCATGAGTGTTATAATCGAGAAATATCCTGTTCTTGTAGGGCTATCAACAAAGTGACTGCAACCAAATATATAGGAGTTGTGGTTGATCAGCGGTTATCATGGCACGCCCATCTACAGTTAATGATGGGCAGAACGAGAAAGCTCATGGGGGAGGGGGGATGAGACACATCGCCGATAAAAACCTATTAAAACTGCTGTACAAGTCACTAGTTCAGTCTATTTTGGTTTATTGTATTACGGTCTGGGGTGGTGCTGGTAAAATGAAGTTCCTGGATCTCGAAAGAGCACAAAGGTCACTCTTAAAAGTAATTTACTTTAAGTCTCGTAGATATCCTACAGAAAGCTTATACAAAATAAGCGACGTGCTTTCGGTTCGACAGCTTTACATTTTAAATATTATTTTAAAAATGCACAAGAGTTTAGAGTATGATCCTTCTAAAACATCAAGAAGACGCAAACATAATGTAGCTCTGACTACTGCGGTTAGAACAATGTATGCAAGGAGGCAGTATATGGTACGATCAGGACATCTCTATAATAAAATCAACAGAATTCTAAGTATCTACTCAATGAACAAATTCAAATGCAAAATAACTGTAACATTTCTACTAAAACTTGGAATTATGATAAAACTGAGACATTCCTGGAGGACTAGGTGTTTGGATAATTATATGTTTAAATAAACATTATTATCTTTTGCATTTTGGTGTTATATAGGTATCTCAGTAGAACCACTTTCAACAATACACTCTTTGTTCAGACACAAATACACGCGCACACACACGTACACATTCACTCACACACTCATACACCCACATACAAGCATGCATAAGCACAGAAAAACATATCAATTTAAAGAAATATTGTAAAAAAAAAATTTTTTTTGCTATTTTTAGAGTTCATTATTATTAAAATATTAAGGTGATCAATAATTCAATGTACCATGTCCTTTAGCACGGAGAGCGGGAATTTCTAATACAAGTATATATTTACTTAAAAGAAATTCCCAATCGCAATACTGTATCGGAAATTATTGTATCAAATAAAGAATTTGTATTTGTATATTTATTTTTCTTTAACATATACGCATATACATACATTATATCCATTTTAACTGTTTAGGTAGCAAAGATTCTAAAAAAAACACATTCTCTAAATCGGCTGGGGCATTTAGAAGTTATGGTGGAATAAAGGGTAAAACTGTACTTCCAGAGCCCAAGAGGTGATACTTGAATTTGTATTGTAGAAAAGGTCTCTTTTAATAGTTTCTTTTCTGGCTCTTCGGCACGCTCGCTTTGCTCGCTGGGCTCGCGCGTTATGGTCACAATGCTAACTTAACCTAACCTAGTGTGAAGTGTTACAAGTGTTACAGTGCCTGGAAGTACAGTTTAGCCAAATTAAATATCCAAGTAAAGACGACCTCCGTGGCCGAGTGGTTTGTACGCCGGGTTTCATGGCTGTCGCCGACTCGAGAGGTCCCGGGTTCGAATCCCGGTGGGTGCAGATGTTTGTGTGATGAATACGAGCATTTGTACTCCAGTCATGGATGTTTATTATGTATTTATATAAATATACTTATATATGTACAGTATATGTATTCTATCCGTTACCCTAGCATCCCATAACACAAGCCTTATTGTGCTTACTTTGGGGCTAGGCTAATTGGTGTGTCGGAAATATTTATTATTATTATTAAAAAGGAAAACCATTATGAATAACTGAATTTCATTGGTTTCAGTTGGAAGATGATTGTAGCAATACTGATAGTTACTGCACAAATAGTACACTACTTAGACGAGGTAAAAAGCTTGAGGACAACAATAACCTAACAAAGGAAGACTTGGAGTACATTAACTACAGAAAGCTGCTAAAATATGAAGAAGCACCAGAGTATTTACAACATAATCCTTATATCAGAGATGGTTATAGAAAACTTTTACCAACAAGACTATGTTGGGAAAGGTAGGTTCAATTATGTTTTTTCTATTAAGTGTTATTTTTATAAAATAGCAAAAGCCTCACCTTTTAGAAAGCTGTGAATTGGTAAGAATGTTCTTGAAAATAAAGGCTGATGTATATTTTTTCAATTTGCCACTGTATTCATGAAGTCAGGGGCGTATTTTAAAAGTGGCACCCTGGGCAAGTTATGTGAGAAATAGAAATATAGGTCAGTAATAAATGCCTTTGTATAGCTTCTGAAGCGCCTCACAGATCTTGCAGCCGCCCTTTGCAGCCTGTCGCCATAGGCCATGGCCATGATCCTCCTAATCCTAGGGTAATGCATTTATTGACATTACTTTTTTTGCTACTATCAACTTGCCTGCAAAATATGTATGAAAATGAAAGTGAGTTAGGAATTAGACACAATATCGAACAGAATATAAAGCTTGTGTAGGCAACACCTCAAAATTTTTATAAACTTACTTGAAACTTATGTATTATATTATGTTTATTTATTACCTAGTTCATATAATGAAGCCTAGGTATTGTATACCTACAAATAACGCAAAAACAAAGCGGTAGTTTACAAATATGCAAATGGATTAATTTTAGTAACTTTTAAATTGATATGTTGAAAACGTAATATCTCAATGTTAATAAAATTATTTAATGTACAGTTGCATTGAAAAATTCTCTCTCTTATTGTGTTGGATTATGTCCCATTTCCTTTGTTTAGAATGATAAAATTAATGTCAATTACATTTTTCTTAAATGCAAATTCTGAGATAACGGAGAGCTGTCATAGTTCGTGCTTGCGGTAAGTAGGTACCGTAATCGTATCGCATCGTTAAATTTTTTTTATGAAAACTAAGCAGCTCCTCCAACGGATGAAAGAAAGTACCAAAAAAAACGTGGTGCGCATTGGGTAAATATTTAATGGGTTAATTAGGAGCCTGTTTGTTCTTACGTTCATTGTCGGTATTCGATCGAAGATTGTTTCACCTGTGAAGAGTCGGGGCAGGTATTCACAAAAAAGGACCATTAGGATTTTCATTCACGGATCCTATATATGTTTAAAAACATATCAGAGCATGAGCTCCGCGACATGATATAGGTATAACGCGTTTTTAGCACGTTCGATTATCAAATTACCATGAACTTCGACAGCTAGTTAAACGCAGTAGACGTGATATAATGTAAATTGTGGTGCTCATGCTACGGGGACTGGGTTCAGTTACAGAACTATTCTATCATCACAAAATGAAAATTTATTTTGATGAAAGCGGACATTTATTTGCATCGATCGTCGCATCTGGGGATTTTTAACTTGTACCTTACAGAAAACGAGGCAAATAACCCTTTAACCCGTCTGGTGAAGTAAATAGCACCTTACGAGAGGCCATAACTTCAGGTGTTATCGTAATTTTGTCGATGGCGGGTTCCAGTTCCCGTAGCATGAGCACCACGATTCACATTATTACACAATTTTTATCGCGTCTAATTGTCAAACTCCATGGTAATTTGACAATTGAGCGTGATAAAAACGCATTAAATATCATAACGCGGTGCTCATGCTAGGAGAGCAGGGGCAGGGCTCTACGAAGATGAGGACGGCTGAAGCGGTATACTTTCCAGCAAGGCTTTATAAATAGGCTAGGGGATTAGGTCAGGGTAGACAACGATGCAGGTGATATTTTTGGTATCGCAAGCGCCTATAGGCTACGGTGGCTGCTGAACAAAAAAAACTTTTCTGCAGCATCAGATATCTTCGCGACTGGTTTCTTTAGAGTTATTTGTCGCGTCTTGTATTTTCCTTAGCATTGTTTGTATAGTTAAATATAATGTTACTTTTGTTTTAGCATATTCTGGTGGACGAATGAAACGATGAACATTTGGACGCACATATTCGGTTTCTTCTTATTGCTTTTCCTCACCATCAATGACTTGGTCATCATCAATATACACGCAACAGTGACCGATAAAATCGTTGCTGGCATACTGTTCTCGTGCTTTCTGGTAAGTAACAAACGGGTAAGAATTTTGTTTGAAGCACTGCAAACCACCCACTAAAATAAGGTAATATTAATAGCACTTGTTACCTGCAGGCATGTAATTAATAATACTTGTAATTAAAATACATTTTAGTACCAACTTCATGTTGTAGCTATAGTTATGTTTTGTATGCTATGTGTATTTAACTTTATGTCCAAAGGAAATTGTGCATTAGAAAGAAATAATTATCATGTCGCTCCCAGGAGACTTCGCTAATCGGGCGACTGCACTACCACACATGACCACACCATTTACTATTAAATCCTAACGTTTGGTGTTTAGAATTTCCCCTAAGTATAATGTTTTATAATATACAGAACTTCTGCCCCGGACATATTTTTGCGCCCTCCGAAATGAAACGTTGATAAATTATGTTCGTAAATAAATGATAGCCGGTTAAATTGCACCTGTGTTCATGGAATATCGATTCGTAATTATCTCTTTAAGTTCATTCTGAACTGGAATTCACTAGAATTGCCGCAGTTACCTGCAGTGACGTTGTTCGTTATAAAATGAGCGAGCCCACACCATCGGCGTTTGCGTCGAAAGTCGACTCGCCTCAGATAACGAGCTGCTTTCTTCGCAGTGAAAGTATATATCAATTTGAGAAATAAAATAAGACTTCTGGCGTCCTATAAGTTTGTAACAACAAAGAAACATGAACCGTTTATCTGCTGGTTTCGTTTTGGGTTTAATTGAACTCATTAACTTGCTTTTACTTGATAACTTTATCTCTTTCGACGATATATGATGTCAGAAAGGATAATTTTTCTTTACACACTAGGAAGTGTGTGAAGTCCTTACTGATATTAGAATGTGTATTAATGTTTTCATTTTGACAATGTACTAATTGTTTCAGAATATTTAATAGTGGTTTTAAAGCATGCGTAAACATGCATAAACGTGGATGCATTAGCGGGCGGTTGCTAGTGTGATATAAACGTAACACAACAGATAAAACATAATTCTCTTTTTCAATTTTACTATTATAAAATACTTACTTTATCACAAGATATTGTGGTGCATTGTCGGGAAAATAATAACTTCCTTTGTACATAATATTATGGTGCGTTGTCGACCTAATTGTGTAAGATTGGATATTGCACTCTACATTCATTAACTACGATTAGAGCTCTACGCGTATTTTTTGCTATGTAATAGTATAGTAGGTATGTTACGATAAGTTAAAACATCAACCTTATTATTATGCTAATGAATGCGGTAAAATGCTTACAATAGTAAATTAGTTTGCTAGCTGACTGAATTCAACTATGAGTGCCTACTTATAATTTACTATCCTTTTATTTAGATGATGGACCTAATTTTGCATAATGAAATTTTCAATAGTCTCCCCTTTTCATTCTCAAAGCGTGAAAAAGATTATTCTACTTTAAAATGTTGTCTAATAATAATTTGCTATTGTTTTAATAAAGAATTATTAAAAGCAAACCCATCTGTTTGAACATTTATCATTTACTGTACAGTTAATTGATAACTAGATTTTTTTTATAGGAAATTAGTATTATTAAGTTATAATACACATTTTTGCACATCCCATGAAGCGTCAAATGAATCCATTCTTGAAATTTTATGACTTTTGCTTTATGCGTGTAAAGTTTACTACTGCACTGACAAGCATGCTTGAATGAATTCATTTACAATTTTACATTGATAGAAGTTAATTGTCTATGTGTTAATGATTACAGAACTAGTTCACTCATCGTATTGGTACTATGCATTCCAAATGAGTGTTTCGTTGCTCACAATGTACACTGTGTTTGTTTTTTACATTACATGAACATTATCACGGTGAAACAATCAAACAAATGCAGTGATACGGATTACAATAAACAAAATATAAAATAAAACTGTATTACAGCTGCTAAAGGCAAAACAAAAACAGTGAGTTGGATACACACGGACATGAGCACCGTGATATGATATATAACGCGTTTTTATCACGCTCAATTGTCAAATTACTATGGAGTTTTTACAGTCAGACGCGATAAAAAACGTGATATAACATAAATTGTGGTGCTCATGCTACAGGGACTGGAAGGGTTCCATTTTCCGTACCATTATCTATACAACATTAGACACTGTATAGCAAAAAACCGGCCAAGTGCGAGTCGGACTCGCGCACCGAGGGTTCCTTACAAACCTGTAGGTATATTTTAATAACTATTAAAAAATATTTTTTATTATAATATGATGTAACTAAAAATTTAGGGATTTCGCAATTTTTTATTTATCTGTACTATAAGACGTTACTTCGTACCAAATTTCAAGATTCTAAGTTCACGGGAAGTACGCTGTAGGTTTTGATTCCTGTGCGAGTTACGAAGCGACATAAACGGCTGTATCTTCTGATTGCTTTGGCTTAGAAGTTTAATTTTTTACAGCTTCAAGGGACAGTAGACCTGAGTTACATTAGGTATGAATTTCAGTTTGATACCTCCACGTGTTCCTGAGAAAAACGGTCTTGACGGACAGACGGACAACAAAGTGATCCAATAAGGCTTCCGTTTAGAGGTACGGAACCCTAAAAAAGGCAAAATAATTACGTCTGTTGTATTGGGGCCCCCCTTAAATCTTTATTTTAATTTAATTATTTACTTTTAAAGTGAAGCTACAACTAAATATTCTGTGATATTTCGGAAAAACGGCAAGAAAACCACGTTTGTTGTACGGGAGCCCAACTATTTATTTTAATTTGTTTTAGTACATTTATTTATTGTTATAGTCGCAACAGAAATACATCATCTGTGAAAATATAAACTGTCTAGCTAGCACGGTTCATGAGATATAACCTGGTGGCGGCTGTTTTTACCCTTTGGCACCGTAAAAAACTATAAAAATTTTCGCAGCAGCGGGAATCGTAGCGTCTTGCGTTAGTTTTCGAAATTCGAACACGCGAAAAAAGAATAAGAGAAAACCTAAAACTATACAAAAGAGGTCAGTTGGTGGCCTACACTTAGGTTGGGTATTACTTAACACTAAATTGTCCGGAAACAAAAACCGTACCTGCTGTTGGCAGGTACGGTTTTTGTTTCCGGACCTACAAAGAACCTACAAAGAACCAGACCCGGCTGAGAAAATGTTTATTTTGTTGGTTGATTGATTACGGTCCTTAGCTGCGGTACCGGCAAACTTTTTGAGCAAAACCACAAACAAACTTGCGCAGTAGACCTTTTAGTATGCAAAATTGTGGTAAAAATGCTGCGCATGCTTCCTTGCCTATAATCGTTGCTTTGAAGAAGAAAGAAGTTCCAGGGAGGGTGTATACTTAGTGCACGGACAGTCGGCAACGGTTGCCGCGACCACACCAGCACTCCCGGCGTGCATTGGGGGGACTACGGTCCTCAGAATATACGCCGGGTGACCGGTGCAGGAGTATTGTTTAGTGGCCCTGGTCAGGGCGTTAGGTAGGCTGTAATGGCCAGGGAGGAGTCCCACAGACCTTCTTCTCGCTCCCCCGGTGCATAATTAGTGGGATAAAAATAAACGAACTATGTAATAATCTTCATTCTAGGTGTGCATGGCGTCGTCGGCTCTGTACCACACGTTCTTGTGTCGCTCGGAGGAGGACTGCAACAAGTTTCTGATGTACGATCTATTCGGCATAGCGCTCTCGTTGCTCGCCATCTACACGTCTGGGGTTTACTACGCGTTCTGGTGTCATTCTGTGAGTACCTGGAAATTTTTATTATTTATAATTACCTATAAATGAGGACCTCAATGGCACAGGTGGATTGTGCGTTGGCTTGCGATCTTTGAAGTTGGTCGGTCATTTGATAGGTGACCAAAAACTTATTATCTCGAGCTCCTCCGTGATCCGGAAGGCACGTTAAGCCGTTGGTCCCGACTGCATCTGCAGTTGTTAGCACCCACCAAACCTCACTGGAGCCGCTTGGTGAGTCGTAGCCTAGACTCCCTATTCCATCCATAGGCATGTGCCCAGCAGTGGTGACATTAATAGGTTGGTGATGATGACGAGGTGCTCGATGGCGAAAGTGGTTCAGTAATTAAACAATTTAGGCCATATTTATAGCGCGTCTCCAAAAATTTACTATCTCCAGCTCCTCCGCGCTTCGGAAGGCAAGATGGTCTCGGCTGCACCTGTTGATTTTTCATACAAATTTTGTTTCCCTTTCAAATTGATCATTTTCGTAATAAAATTTTATGATAAGTTCTTCTCCGGGGTCCCCTAGATCTCCGTAAGGAAAATCGCCAAATGCGGGTTGAAGTGTAATCGACAGACAGATGGAGTTGATTTCGAATTTGTAACATGACTGAAAAATATATTTTTTTCTTTTACAAAAAAACCAAGAAAGCAAATAAAAAATTTGGACCCTCAAGAGTTGTTTTATACTTCCAATTTGGATACAAGATATTTTATTTTTTAATGAAAGTAAATATATTAGTCTAAGATGTGTTATAATAATATAAGAGCTGTGTAGAGAAGAATGCTTCGCTTAAGTAGCGACAGCGACCCACTTTTCTTGTGGTTTAGTGGTTGGTATAAGTGTAAGTGGTGGCACTTCAGTAATACGAAGTGCCAAATCTCGCTTTCAACTATCTTAACTATCAAGTAGATAGTTATTGTGAAATTCCAAGAACTCTTAGATCTCGGTATAATGGCTGGTTGTGATGTCGGTTCGTTAGTATATGTAAGTCATTTTCTTTGAGGTAAATAGTTCAAAATTTAATTTTAAGCTCGTCTCGCGCTGTTACAAATATTACGCTTAAAGAATAATTCTTAATGTGCCGTTTTTTCAACGTTTTTCCAGAATCATATCTCCAATAAAAAGGCAAATATTTAAAAAAATTATTAATAAAATATTTAACTGCCCCCGGGGACTATGGAGCATAATTCAAATGAAAAGACTTGCTGAGAATATAAGGATTTTGTAGTTCTCGATTATGTCTATCAATAACTAAAAAGTAAATAAAAAAATACTTTTTTTAAAAACAAGCTTTTATGAAAATGGAAAAAACAATCCGATGAAATTTTGTTTATCCACACAGCATTAATCTCGCGACAAGGTTTTATGTTATATAAATTGTGTAATGACGTTATAAGTTCATATTTAAAGTTTTAAAGGAACATTTTATTTCATATTTTTTAGCGCATTTAAATAAAAGTATGTTTTTAAAAAAAAGGTCTTATTTTTTTCTGAAAAACTACCAGTGCGCTAGTGTGGAGATTTTGCACAGACTTTATCTAGCGATCTTTTCACCAAGAAAAAGTGAAGTGTTAATTCTTGGGCCCATAAAGTACAGTTTTACCTTTTCGTTTACCCCGACGTCAACATCTCTATTCCGAGATACTTTGAATAAAGTGTCTATAATAAATCTTGCAGCGATAAATGAAAAATTCTACTGATCTGAACTACTAGATCAATAGAATTTTACGTTGTGTTCTACTTTTGTTTTACATAAAGTACATCGACTCTCCGTGCGTTGGCCAGAGTTTCTTAATCCCACGTGTTATGGAATACACACACATATCTTCAAAGATAAACATAATCTTTGCTAAACGTGCTCATTTTGCGTTGAGTGTAGTTTTGAATATTCTTATCTACTATTATCTAACCAGTGATTTGATTAGTTTCGCTCAATAGTGTGATTAGAAAAATTATAAGTACTATAACAGTCACAGAACACGGAAAGCGGTCTCAGCTGGAACATACACAGCTCGTTTTGGTTCAAAAAATTATATTTATTATTCAGTAAAATATATTTTTTGGACCAAAACGCATTCAATTAAAATACTTTTAACGTTATTCGTTTAATAATAATGTTGTTTTTCGAAATACGTTCTAATATTAGGTAAAACATTCTTAAAGTCGTATCGGTGTGACCGCTTTCTAGGCTTGCTTAGAGATGCGTTCTACATTTGCAGTTACGTAAACGAAAATCAGGTGCTTGCGGTGGTTTATGCCATATTATGTCGTGAATCATAGGTATCTGTTCTCTGATGTTAGTTAAACTTTTGTTAAAGATGTAGGTACGGCGGGTTCCTGAAACTAAATAATTTTATAAATACACACACTATACACATTAAGGAAACATCTGGAAATTGTAATCATAAAAATTTAAATTAACGCATAGCTAAAGGCCATCGATGCCAGATTCTGTTAAACCCTAAAAAAGGCTTATTACATAATAAATGATATGTACATTTAATAAGTACAAAAAGTTTTGTCCATTTCCTTAACCCTCCCAACTTCAGAATACCGCGCCTTAGACAGTCCCTATTAGTCGACCTTATTGGACGATGGTACCAGTTGATGTGCCTGTGATTGGCTATCGACGGCCAACTCGAAGCAAACGAGTAGTCTTTAACGCCACGAATGTTATTCAACTTTTCTTTACTTTGTTTTTCACCTCCCTATTTTCTTGTATCTTTACCTACTTTTATCTTTACTATCCTTCTATGCTTCCTCTTTCAGACTTCTGCCCGTGCCCCTGGCTGTATCAAATAGCAGCATCGAGCACGTACAGTATATTATGAAACATGTTGAAATTTGATTAAAAAAAAATAACGTAATTAAAAAGACATATTGTAAATAATCGAATAAAAAAAATTATGAAAAAAAAAATGTATGTGATCGCCTGAACTTGGAGTTCCAACTTTAATATACCGTAATACCGGCCATACACACTACGAGAAATCGTTACGATTAGACTGTACAGTCCGAACGGTACCGATAAATCGTAGCGTGTATGTTATAAAACTGCACAGTTTCCTATACTAAACGAAATCGCATAAACTGTTCCGTTCGAACTGTACAGTCTGATCGTAACGATTTCTCGTAATGTGTATGGCCGGTATAAGATTTCCATCAGCACCTCGATTCTGACACCGTCAGAGCATTGTACAGCCTATATAAACTTGTTCATATACAGTTTATATATTGACATTGATTGATAATGTACTATCCTACCTACCTTTGCATACAAAGAACGAAGTATGGGAGCGCATAGTATAATTGCTCTAACTTGAATGTAATGGAACCAGGGCTCTGAGTACGTTTTCTATTCAAGGTCCAGTAAATATTCTACATTTACTTGATCATCAGTGTTTTCACGCACGGCAGAAAAACATGCCACGTAACTTGTTCTAAAAGGTAGTCACCTAACGTTGGCGGTCTGTGGAACATTGTTGTTTGGCCTGTATAAATAGTTCTCGTTAAAGGAAAAAGTTGGAGATTATAAAAACTGACCTCAAAATTATTATAAACTGTCTGCTCTTCGGAAAATTAATTGTTTTCTGTAAGATGAACTGCAATGTCACCATTTTAGCCTTGCTGTTCAATTAATCTAATATTTTTTACTTTTTTGGAGTGTTTTTATATCGTCTCATTTACATTTTTTACAAATATGTTAAGTATTTTGTCTATGACTGCGATTAATAAATAAATATGAAGTCATACATAATTATTATATTTTGCTATTACTATTCAAATACGTCAGACTCGGAAAAGGTGAATACTTTATTGTCAATTTTTCTGGGTAACATAATTATTTAATGACGTTACAGTGCTGATTTTAATAGTTTACATTTTACAATGTTTATTTTAATTTATTCTTAATTTATAATCACGTGATTTTTAATTAAAATTTGCATTAAAGAAACGTAGACCAGTCTGAGCGGTAATCAAACGAACGGTACAATATAGCAGTAGTAGTAAATAGCTGTGAATGAGTAACGTCATATCGCTGTAGAAATGTATAAGTACCTAATCTAATATATAAAATTCTCGTGTCACGGTGTGCGTGTGCGTAATTGAACGACTTCGAAACAGCTCGACTCGTAGGTCTGAGAATCGGACAACATCTATTTTTTCTTCCCCCTAAATGTTCAGGGTGGTCCACCCTTATTTTTTTTTTGTACAATTTTTATTTTTTATCATACATCATACAAAAATACATTCACCCTTCTACCACTTCCTCTATTTTTTTATGGTGGTAAAAAAATTCTATGATTATACTGAGCTGTTTGTTTAATTTTAAGCCTATTTATATTTATATATTCTTCGCAACGATTTAACATAGATGAATCCTTCACTCTCTGTCGTTTGCGAAAGAGCAAAAGAACAACATAATTCGCACTGAGAAGGTACTATCGGCCTTAGGAACCTATTTTTTTTTCGGAATAAAAGTACCCTATATCGCAATCCAGGTAATTAACTATAGGTAGGTACCAAATTTTATCCAAATCCGTTCATCCTTTTTGCGTGAATGAGTAACAAACGTACAAACCCTCACATTTATAATATTAGTGGGATATATTTCTTCTGTCCGTGTTTATGTTACTTAACTACTAAACGGCTGCACCGATTTTGATGCATTTTTTTGTGCATTCGATTCGAAAGAGCGTTAATGATTCTTTCTGTTGCTTATTGTCTTCTTTACTGGGATCTTTAAAACGACGTTACCCGAGTAGAGTGAATCTTTGTAACGTAGTCTAATTAAAGTTACATTTCAATCGCAATGCAACGGTTTCGTTCAAAGACTTTGCACTGAGCTCCATTAATTAATGCAAAATGTATGTTAAGATTGGTCTCGCTCGGCGCAGCGTGCGTGGCCGGTTTTATTGCAATGAATTAATTTCTTATAAAATGCCGAGTTTGGGCTTGATATGTGTTTATGTGGCGTGTGTGTGCCCCACTTTAGTAT